CGGAATTGCACAGAGTAAGAGAGATCAACACACCACCAAGGACAACACAGACTTTATTTCACGTTCAATCGCGCACAATCAATATAGTGTTTTGCTCAGGATGGAACTGGTTGCTACACTCATCTGTCATCTGGTGTCATTTGGTGTAGCACTGGGAGGAGCCATAAAATAAACCTGGCATTCTATAAAATCATATATGTGAATATGACTTTCACATAGCCCTAAAGAGTAAAAATATATGTGCACATCGTTATACTCTTTTAGTTCGAATAAAAAGTACCACGGTTGAAAAATATTTTAATATGACCAAATCTAAAGATACTGTTTAAAATATTTATTATTTATTTAACATGAGAAAATGTATGAGTGATCATTATAATAAACATAGTTTCAGAGAATTAAATGTTTTTATGAAATTATAAAAATTGAAATTATTCATGTAAAAAAAGAGAACTTTAAACTACCTTAATTACAATATATTCCAGTACTGCTTACTCTTTTATGATAAAAAAATTTAATGTTTTTTGAAGTACGTACAGTTACACCTAAAACAAATTTGTCTTAAAATGTTCCACAAATGTATAGAACTATAGTGTATCATCTACAATGTAAATATCATTCATATAATGATACATCACATTAAAAATAGGCAGCTTTTCTATCATATTGACATTTTCCAGGATGTGAATGGCGTATAGAAAAAATCGGTTCAAATGTAATTGTTTCCTTTAACTTCCATCTTTGGATGACAGATGAATTTTGTCTTTCTAGTCTGCTGTCATTGACTTTTATCTAATTCACACCTCTGTTTCATCCACAGAATGGGTGACTGCCTCTCTTTATGTTCATGCCAGACACTGGCTGCTAATAAAAATCTTCTGCTGCTTCAGAATGCAGCAGTTGGAATTCACAATCTGTGGCTTTTTTTCCTTGGCCCAGTCTTGTTTCAGCTCAGTTTGAATGCTCTTTAGGCCTTACTGAATAAAGTGATAAATTACCATGTGTATTTGTGATGATGTTTTTTTATTTTTATTTTTAAGAATGAATATCTCTAATTACTCATCTGGATACTCACAAAAAAAAAAAAAAAAAAAAGATCACTCGCGGCCCAGAGGGACAAGAAAAGCTAAAAGGATGCAAGGACAATTCTGGTCCTTTCTTCTGCCAAAGACATTTATCTATATTCGTTCGCATGTTGGCAGCAAAGCCAGATGTTATTCTGAAATGGTTCCCCTTCCATTTTCAAGATACTCTTACAGTATTATTAGGCTTTATGAAAGAAACTAAAGCCTAATAATACTCCCGGGCCCCTCTGAACCATCAAACAGTTGAACTGTTTTTGAGAACAGTCTTAATGACAAATCCCTAAAAACAATGTGAAACGTGAGCCCATTTAACCACAAAATACAGTTCCATTCAATATTTGTGTCCAACTCCAGTCACCTGAGGTTGAAAAAACATGTACATGATGTATGGCTTGACTCCGTCCACCTTGACACAGTGGTAATATCTAATACATTACAGCCCAAGACACAAAAGGTTATACATTCAGCAGCAGGTTCCACCCTCAGGCTTTTACACTGTGACGTGTGCTATTTCTTTCTGAAGAAAATATTGATTCTAAATTGACAAAATATTTTCTAACTAAAGTCTGCACAAAGGACGTGCTATAATTCAACACTGCTAACAAAAACGTCAAGCCGTTCATGGATCTTATATCCAGACCCTTGTGTCTTTTGTTTGTATGCCTAATTTAGTGTTAAATAATTGGATTAAGGTTGACCTAAAAACACTATAGATGCAGAATCAACGAGGTTTTATGTACTGAACAAATTTTTCACATACTTTTGTAAACACTTAGAAGTCATTTACATAACTTTCCCTATAATCTCCAGCAGATGGTTTTTTTTTTTTGGGTTTTTTTTTAACCATATCATCAATGCATCTTGTGCTTAAAAATATTTTAACGTCCAGCATGCAAGTGTGGAGACTTCACTTTCTGGTCGGATTTCCACCAAGCCAACAGCAGCAAGTAAGTCTACGACTGTCAGTGGACTTAGTAAACTTAGTAAACTGACTAAATGTTGAGGACATGTTCTTCACTTTAGAACACAATCTACATACCACCTACAATGGATGGAAATTAAGCACTGAAACTCACCAATTCCATGAAAGACAGTTTAAGTTGCATCATAATAATTCTGTCATTTGAATTATTCCTGAATAAAAATAGGTGTGAAACACCTACATCTAGCTAGTGTTACTTGTCTTTCATTTTTTTATACTCACGATTGATTTATCTTGATTAAGCACAAATAACAGCAATCATGATTAATCACATTTAATTTTGTCTAAACAACAGGTATGCTGTGATTAATCTGATTTAGAATTTTAATGGTTTTACAGCCCTACCCAAAACATTATATTTCTGGGAAGTGCCCATCTGAAGGACAGACAAAAATGATCCAGTTTTGATCATAATAAATCTAAAACAATCCAACATATATTAGAGATGCTGTTGTGACAGTAAATCAAACTGTATTTTCCTGAGTGAGACACAGCAGTGCGGGGGGCTGACGTGTCATCTGAAATGACACGCAGTCGGCAGCAGGATTTCTTCCTCTCTTCCTTGAGAGGTTTCTTCCCAGAGAAAGAGAGAAGAGATTAGTCTAAATGACAGCTCTATTACAGACTTAACCTGGGCCTTGATCATTTCCTGTCTCTCCTAGAGATCTGCTCTGGTAACGAATGCTAAATCTGACAGGCTCCTGCCCTACCTACCCCCTCATCTACCACCGACCATCGCTGCCACTTACACACTTCATAATGTTCCCTTGTGATTAAAGATTACTCCTTTTCCCCCTCATTCTTCAGTCGACACTTGAGGCTGGAGCATATTGTCTGACTGTCAGTCTGAGAGAAAAGGGGAAAAAATCACTTCAGCATAATAGTTTTTGCCAACTGCTAAGCTTCAGTGTCAGACATGATTATATCCAATCTATATATACTGTATATGCTGCTAGAAATGTACAGAACGAAGAGAAAGAAAGACATCAAATAATCAGCTGTGTTGATTTAAAAATGATAACACTGCAGAATAAAAAGTAAAAAAATAATAAAGCTACTGTATGTAACTTTACACTTTTGCTGTCTTAGAACTGTAACTGTAGCTGTAACTTTACACTTTTGCTGTCTTAGATTTTATAATTTACAATTGTTAATTACCGTAAGTTGCAAACCCAGCAAAAGGGTTTGTGACTTATACTCTGGTGCGACTTATTTATTAAAATATATAATTTCACATGTTTTTTTTTTTATTTTGACACTGATAGCTGCAAAAGGGCACTCTACACCACCAGTATCTGCTACTCCTGTAGGTGGCACTTTTTTCATCCTTTGGCTGGTGCGACTTATACTCCAGTGTGACTTATAGTCTGGAAAATACGGAATACTTATTAATGACTTCAAGAAGTGACAATTGTTTAAAATCTCAACACAATGATTTGGTCTTGGGAAATGTTTCATCACAGACTTAAACTGAAAAAACAAAAAGTATAGTATATTCAATGTCCTTCACACAAATCATCACCAACATTACATTTACTGTGACTCTCCACATGTGTCGACTCAGTGCCAGTTTAGCAGAGCAACCTCCAGGTTTTTTTTTGCTTCTGCCTTGTTACAGGACAATAATAACCAGCGACAGAGACGTCTGTTTAAACTGCTTGCATGATCTACACGTGCATAGGCAAAGTACATTAGGTATGAAAACACTCCACCAGGATGGTAACAAAAACACATGCAACTTGTTTGCGAGTTGTTTCTTCTTTGCATGTAATTGTCCCATGTCCATTTGTCTATGCAGTATATTGTTGATTGCTTGAATTATTCATTGGTTTTGTGAATAATAAATATGTATTGATGAATGGAACACCTGACAGTGATTACATCTTTGGCAGCAAAGACGGTGAACAATGCAACACAGAAATATGCGACTTATAAATATGCATGAAGTTGATGTCAAACATGGACAATAACAACAACAACAACAACAAAAAACAACATCTGTTAAAATAGTGTTACCGCGCATCACCGAACCAGGAGTAGGTTTGAAGAATTTAAATTTTAAACAATACTGAAAAGATTAAAATATTTTTTGGACAAAGTAGGAGAACAAAGGGCAAGGTTTGTAATTCCAACTTTTTACCAAATTAGACATTTTTTGAGCAAGATGATCCACGTTTTCACCTCATTATTTCAACTTCAACTCATTGAACTACAGATTAGATTTCATGTGTATTTCCTGTTGAAGATTCCACTCAGCTTCGTAAACCTACTATACTATAACTGATCTTTGGGCTGTTAAATTTGACATTTTTCACAATTCACAACCACTCATCTTTCCACAATCAAACTGCCAAACCCAAGTGGGGATGGAGTTTAGATATATTCTACTGATGCCAACGCCCCCCGCCCACTCCCTCCTTTCTTTCATTTCCCAACTTGGTAAGACTCTGCCCAGAGCAGACTTATGATTTCTCAGAAATATTCACACTGAGCTCCCTGGCTACAATTTATCTGTGGAAAAGTGTTTACTGCAGCTCTGGTTTATTGACATCGACTTTTCACTGACCTTATATCCACTAACAGAAAAATAGCCAGGTACTTCGTGGCCTTTGTGAGATTTTCTTTTTTAACTAAACAGAGAGATTAATGAGGTTCAAGCAATTAGTATTAAACTGTGGTGGAAATTGCATTCAATAAATACTGGACAAAATCAATAAGCTTTAACCACGTTTGACAGCCAATATGATGACTTAACTGTAATAAAGTTGCAAGAAACAAAAAAGGTTTAGTTATATATGAAGTTGAAATCTCCAAAAGTTTTCAGTTGATGACTGAGAGTTCTTTAAATGATGGCAGTATGTTGAACATCCCTTCTCAGGTCGAGCACACATTCATTGCCCTTTAAATGAAAATCTTTCCAAACTCAGACTTACCTACAAGCTGGTAGCCCTGTCTCCTTGGACCTCCGAATGGGTTGTGATTTCCAAAGGAGCCTCCGTCAATGGACCCATATGACATGGTTAGAGAAGGGTGAGCTGCAGGAAAAACCACAAACAAAATCAATTACAAAATAAATAAATACATTTACCACATCCTCAACCTACAGCGTTTTGAGATTGCATCGCCATCTCCCACAATGACAAATTGATGCTTGATCATCACACAGCCTTATACGCAGAAGACTGCTTTGTTTACATTCATAAGACATTGGATTATGCTAGTTTCACTTTCTTTTATTTGTGTTGTTTTAAGAACTTTTTGGCCTTTATTATGGCTAGCAGGTGTTAGTCAGTCTCTTCTGATGTTTGTCTCCTAGACTATGATGTTACCACTGTGTTAGTGTAGTAAAGTGACATAGATACTAATGTACAGCATGTCAGTTTTGACCTATGGTGAAAATCGACTTAAGTTGTGCCGTAGAAATGGAATTCTGACATAGGTTGAGAACCCCCTGTCCTTTACTGACTCTGAGTTTTGGAAGCTTAGAAAAACCACACGCTTGGAAAAAAAAAAAGAAGTTTAGGTTAAAAATAGCCAAAGCCTTCAATCCAGGATTTTCTCTCCCGAAGAATAGTGTACTGTACTTTAGGTCATTTCCTAGCACAAGGAAGGTATTATTTTTTGCATTCATTAAATTGAAATCATCTATTATCTGACAGAGAAATATCCTGTGTACTTAACCTTTAAAGCCTACTTTGTCCTATGACCATTTTATCACACACTAGAAGTCCATATGCATACATTTTGCAGGTAACAAATAAATTGTTTCCCAACATGGTTTATACCTGCTGAGGCTGGGAGAAAACCCAAAATTAGTATTCTGCTCCCTGAGTCTCTGCGCTGATGAACACTACAGCCCCTGAGGGCCATGACACGCTGCGCCTGAAGGTTTAGTCAATTTAAATGTTTCAGCGTAAGTCAGCCCCAGAAATTACTAATAAATTAGTTATAATGTCAGCGCCTTATTAAATAGTATAGACTTGTACTCCTGCGGGGGCAGCAGCTTGTGCACACACACATGTACACATACACACATGCCGCTGCACTGCATATCCCTGTACCACACGTTCTTATACATTTTTAAGCGCTGTGCAGTTCGCCTCGTGCACGCTCTCTCAGCCGTTATCTTGCTTATGCATGGTCCATGGCAAGCCAGACTTTTTAAGTTGCAGCCGTGATCCGCAGAACCACGTACGGGCTGCTGGGTTCAGCACACAGGAAATGAAGTGACCATAGATTTTAAAGCTAGCTTTGTTAACATGGAAAGAAAAAGAAGAACAGTGGAACAGTCTCTCTTTTCAGACTTTTCTGGAACTCCTCATCTAACACACAGGTCAACCCATCATGTCAACATGTGTTTAACCCGCGGCTACAGACTGACAAACAACACCAGAGTCAACAAACCTCTCTGGAGGCCTCCATCCTGTTAAAAGGAATACTAGTTAAGCGGCTAATGCTTGTTCCCGACCGTGAAAGACAAGCATTCAGACGAGCAGGAGAATGTGATTACACACAGAGCGACCCTGCCGCCCATTACTGATGTGGAAGCCAGTGAATCCGGCACATTGAATTGGCGTAATGGCTGCAAAGAGGGACGGACGAGCAGCCAGAGATTCAGCATTCACACATTATATAGACATAAATTCACTGGGCTAAAAGAACATTCAATCCAATTAATTTCCAGAGAGAGAAAGAGAGAGAGAGAGAGAGAGAGAGAGAGATTTATTACTTCTGGCAGAACATAAACAATCTTCACTCATGCTGTCTCATGTCCATTGACTGAGATACAAATGCTTTTCAAGTGCACACATAGACGGCTCAAACACCTATGGATGCACACTGGCGGTATATGCATTATACAAGCAACTCCCTGTGTGAATATTTTGAGAAAATACCCCCTAAACAATGTGCACAGCTAGGGAAGCCTTAGTTTGTTTACCAGTTTGGACCAAGACTATAAATAACAAGTGAAAAATGTTCAGTGTTGGCATCACATCCTAGATTTGACCAATCAGGGTGCAGTTCCATTGGCTTCCACACTCTGTGAAACTTGATGACTTGATAAATGGAATAAAATTAGCCATCTGGTTGAAGAGGAGAGGAGCAGGGATAGCCACACTGGTGTCTTAGTCTTTGAGGTTTTCCTCAACCAAATTAAAAAACTGCTTTAAATATAATCTTATATAATACTGAAGAAGAGTCTGGTATGGCAAGAAACAGCAACTAATAATGAGTAGACATTAGTATGGGTGGCACAGCTGAAGGTCCTGCAAACACGTTTCCAATTATCAATAGCATAATTGCATAGAATAGATTAGAGAAGAATCAGTGTACTTAGTACACAAAAAAACCAAAAACATTATACAGTTTCAAATATGGAATAAGAATATAAATATTGTCAACATCAAGGAAATAGATAACATTGTTTTTGTAAAAGGAATAAACATTAACTTATAACCATGTGTTTAATTAATTTAGTTTTTAATCAATAAAAAAAGCTTGTAAACAGAGTAGAAGTGACACAGGGTGGTTTGAACTGCAGGACAGAGGGACGCAATGCTGGCCTGGCAGGGTAGAAATGTGTGGATGCACAGCGACTCACCACCCCCACTGGTTTTCATTCAGTCCCCCACTCCTTTCACAGCTGTCATTATCAGCAACACAAGGCTTAGCCTAGTCAGTGAAGGCAACTGAGCAGAAATAAGCCCACACCCTGGACACAAACGTTGCATTTATCTCAAACAACCAGGGCCAACCTAAGGCGGGATTTTGTGTGAGTGTGTTTGTATGGCAGCTTGTGGCAGCGTTTGAATATTATGAGAAATATTTTTGTTACATTTTTAAAAGCTGGTGCTGCGTTATCAACATAGCAGTCACTAATAGTAACATGCAACTCTTTTGTATTTAATTTACCTTTCATATTTGGTTGGACTTGGTTGCAAAAACTAAACTAAACATCACAGGGTTACAGTAAGTTCAGGGACATTCAGCAGCAGCTTCTACACTTTAAGGCCTTTAAGTACAGAGTTCTTCTATTAGAACATTGTTTTCACAAAAGTATTAACAAGTCTTCATTGTGGACAAATATACCATCCAATTATTAGGATATTTAAAGTAAGTTGGTGCAAAGACCTAACTAGCTTCTGCCTGATGCTATTTTAATGCTAACATTTAATACCTAAAACTTTGCTCAGATGACATGTTTTTTTTTCCAAAACTGACGGTTACTTGGTTGACTTTTGGTACCTGCAAGCATGTTTCTCTGCTTAATTGTGTGCTGTTTACTGATGCAATGATGAAGGGTTCAAGTTATAATAAGAAGAAATACAAAACTTTAAAAACTTCAATGTATATGTGTGTATATTATTAACCAGAGACTGGTCTGGGGGCAAGGTTGAACATCATGTGCAAAACTAGCATTCCACACTCTGCTCGCACTGGCTGAGACTAGCAAGAGGGCACAACTAGGTGCACTTTTTTCACTCCCTAATTAAAAGGGAAATATTGCAGAAGAGCTAATGAAAATGTAGCATTTTCAAAATGAATAGGAGGAAAAACCTTTTTTTAATGACAGTTAAAGGAAAGTGTGCATGTCCCGTAGGTGTTCCGACAGTGGCAGAGGACTACGATATAGAGACATTCTTCATTATGGGTCACCAAACCTTCTCTGTTAATTACAAAACTTGTAGCACATCAGGAGTTGAAAAAGCCTGTGAGTTAAAGTCAGCTTTAGGCTAAACACGGTCTTTTTTTTTTTTAAACCAGAGAAAAAGTCAGAAAGAGCAACTGAAGCTTCATTTAGGGCTGAACAAGAACAATATTCCTGATTTCTGGGACATGGGTTGAGGTGTAATAGGTAATTATTTCCCCAGAAAAGTTAGGGGAATTATAATATGTATAAAAACACAAACACAAATACGTGGTTTCAAACAATATGCCAAAATGAGCTCTTTTATACAAAACTTCCATTAAAGAAGTTTACAGAAATACCAAGTGTCAGATATCTCAGATATGTTAAAACAGGTTGAGATTATAGGAAATAATTAATGGTGCATGTATGAATATTTGTCATTAGAATTAACAGTTGTCAAGACACTCACTGTTCACATTCATGAATATCCATTATTATTAATTATACCATTTCAATGAATGAAGAATTGTGTTTCAAACGAGTAGCTCTTCGTACAGTATAACTCCATTCATGTGAAGTAGCTCTCAGTGTCAAAAGGTGTGGTCATCACTGTGTTAAAGGTTTGTGACGTTTTGTGAACAAATGCGATAAACAACTTCATTCAAAGGATACGACATGTCACGAGAACCTGAGTGTGTGGGCTTCTGTGGAAACCAACTGGAGACAGAGTTTACACATGCACCATATGTGCTGCCCATAGCCTCAAAGCATCTGAGGGGGTGTTTGTCATGGCACGGGTTCAGTGACAGTGAAGAGCTGGCATCGCTGAAAGATGTTCTCCTGACACGTCTGACTACAGGATGTGATACGAGTCCACGTTCTTAACAATCATTAGCAACTCAGGCCGTTCCTCACCCAATGTCATTGGAATATGTTTATACAGTATGTGTGTGTGTGTNCTTGTTTCATGCAGCATCTTTATCCTTTTGTAAACCCTAATTCAAAATAGCTTAAAACTAATCCTTTAAGCCGGCCTTCAACCTGATTATCTACGGCTAACGCATCGAGAATTTACAACTTTATTTCTTAGATTTTACAAAATAACTACAACCTTAAACATTTACTCTAAAACTCAACATTGACACCACTCTTATAATTGAGACCATATTGTTTTTTCGAGGGAAAAAATACAACCAAGTACACCAAAGACATTACTAGTAGTAAACATGGACATAAGTAAAGAATACTACATAAAAAAAGTATGTAATAACTATAATACCAGTTGGAAATGTATACATTTGTGCAAAGATAATGCTATTCAAGAATGAAAAAGATTGAACTAATGTATTGAATCACTTTAGCTAAATAACAGCTAGAAAATTCTTATGAAAAACTTTCAATAAA